TAGCTGCAGCAACAAATTTTACAGTATCATAATACGGTGCTTTATACGTATATGTTAACTTCACGAGTTGGCCTGTCTACTTGAGAGTGTCTTAAGACATGTTGATGGTGACCCCTTACAGAAAGGTCATGTCGATCTCTCGAAGAAGAGAGAGGAATGAATGTAGTGTTCTCGCACCCTGTGTAATGGTGGTGGTGGTGGCGCATACCTTGAAGCTATTTGCTGTAGTAAGTCGTGCAGGTTTCAGAAATCGGAATAGCTTATTCATCAATGACGTCATAAAGCAGTCTTTTGTTTTATGTTAGGTAATAGTAGTGTTGAGCGCCACGGCTTCTTGGTCCCCTTAATGCAAAAATGGCTCAAGCTTTGCTTTTAGTGGTTTTGAAGTCTTTATAGAAGAATTGTTTTGGAATTGTTATAAATGTTTGGGGGGCTAGCGATTTCACTCTGAATTTTAGGCATTATCTAAATCAGTTGAAGGGGAATTGATATTGACTCACCTCCTGTAAATTGCCAATTTTTTATCGTCATTTGTAAATAAAAGAAATGAGAATGATTTAATTATGGACATATCCGAGAAAAGTCGACTGGATTTATATTTCAAGGCAAAACACGCTTTCAGGGGGACTCAGAATTGGTTTCACTGTCGTAAAATAGAATATACTTTGATAATTCAAAGACAGAACTGGCAAAACTATTAAACTCCTTAGGCCTTCCTTCAAGTTGTTTCGTCTTTTCATTGAAGATACTGGAGTTTTTTTACCTCGTAGATAATTTACAAACGCTGTGTTGACTACAGATTTTTTGTAGCCTCGAAATGGAAATATGAGAAGTATCATGAACGTTGTTTTGCAAGGCAAAATGAAAAAGAGGTCATGGTCTATTTTAATCAGAGGAATATAAGAGAATGGTCGTGTCTGTTTGACACTTTGTGGCGTAACTGTGGGCTGAGCTCATTCTATCACTGTCTCTGCAGATTGGTGCATTCTTCAGAACATGCTCTTTTATGTCTCAGCTTATAAAGTAAATTAAAACTTAAAAAATCGATCATAAACACGTACTCTGTGCATCATTCACGTGTTTTTTCCGGTATTCGTTAGGGCACGTCTGTCTATTAAACGAGCTTTCAAATGACCGTCAAATTACATGTACAATCACTGTTAATTAATTATGAAGATTTATGTTAGAAAATGTTTTTAATTGTTTTAGAGAGTTGGATCGTTGTAGGATTTGAGGTTTTCACGG